CCTTGCCGGGAAACCCTCCGCCTGGTGGCCAGCTCTGTGCCCGGAGCCTTCCCCACAAGTGCGGGCCCTGCCTTGGGTGGGTGGGCCCTTTAAAAATACAATCAAACAAACACCAGGGCTGTGAGTCAAAGGGGTTACCAGCTCGTGGAGTGGAGGGGCATGTGGGAGAGAAGGTGGCACAGCGCCCGGAAGAGGGGTGGAGAAGCCCCCCTTTATAGGGAACCATGCCCTAAGGTCGGAGGTGTCTGTGGGGTTGGAGGCACCAGAAAGAGGTCTGTGAGTTGTGGGGGGGGGGGCTCTGAGCCCCGGGGATCAGGGGGGGGAGGTTGCAATGCAGAGCCCCCCCGTCCCCCCCTGGAATGATCACAAAGCTGAGGCGCAAGCAGAATGTAGCGGTGTTCTTCCTCGGCAGGCGGCCGTCGCGGGGGGAGCACCGACCGAGGCGAGGCGAGAGAGAGAGAGAGTCCATGTCGGGCTATTTGCGGCTCAGCAGGGAGCCCAGGAGGACGACGCCGGCCACGGTGGCCCCCGTCAACAGCCACTTGTTGAAGCGCTCCTTGCCCTTCCGGCTCTTGGCGGCCGCGTCGTTCCCGTAGAGATCCACAAAACGCTCCTGCAAGACGAGAGAGGAGAAGAAGAGGGTGAGAGATGGGGCCAGAGATGCTCCACTGCTACAGAGGCCCGTGGGGAGACGTGCACATGGGTTGCCTTGGGATGTGCGTGTCCCAAGCCGGTTCGGGGAAGGAGAAGAGCTGGTAGCAGAGATAGGAGGGGTCATTAGGAGTAGCAGCAAATTTGCTCTCCTCTGGGCACACATAAGACAAGCCCTGCTGGATCAGACCAGTGAGGGTCCATCTAGCCCAGCATCCTGTCTCACACAGGGGCCAACCAGTTCCTCTGGAGGGCCAACAACAGGACAGAGAGGCCAAGACCTTTGTATGAACATCAGAAGAGCCCTGCTGGATCAGACCAGTGAGGGTCCATCTAGCCCAGCATCCTGTCTCATATAGTGGCCAACCAGTTCCTCTGGAGGGCCAACAACAGGGCAGAGAGGCCGAGGCCTTCCCCTGATGTTGCCTCCTGGCTCTGAGATACAGAGGTTGACTGCTTCTGAATGTGGAGGTCCCCCTCAGTCGCCATGTCTAGTAGGCGCTGACAGACTTGTCCTCCATGAATCTATCTAATCCCCCTTTAACTCGGTCTATGCCTGTGGCCATCGCTATATCCTCTGGCAGTCAATCCCACATCTGTGGAAAGGAGTATTTGCTTTTGCCCGTCCTCAATCTACTGCCCATCAGCTTCACTGGATGCCCCTGAGTTCTAGTATTTTGGGAGAGGGAGAAAAATTCCCCTTTGTCAACACTCCATGCATCGTTTTATAAGCCTCCCTCATGTTCCCCCCCCCCCCAGCCATTTCTTTTTTAAAAACAGTGGCCAGGCAGTTCCTCTGGAGAACCAGCAACAGGGCATAGACACTGGGGCCTTCATAAGAACCTCAGAAGAGCCCTGCTGGATCAGACCAGTGGTTCGTCCAGTCCAGCATCTTGTCTCACACAGTGGCCAGCCAGTTCCTCTGGAGGGCCAACAACAGGGCAGAGAGGCTGAGGCCTTCCCCTGATGTTGCCTCCTGGCTCTGAGATACAGAGGTTGACTGCTTCTGAATGTGGAGGTCCCCCTCAGTCGCCATGTCTAGTAGGCGCTGACAGACTTGTCCTCCATGAATCTATCTAATCCCCCTTTAACTCGGTCTATGCCTGTGGCCATCGCTATATCCTCTGG